CCCCCCGACTAGGAACAGCCCTGGGTGCAAATTTGCACTGCTGCAAGCACACACCCCTGCTTGTTTGGACATGGCTAATGAGTTTATGAAGGAGTCTCAGACAGAGAAGTATTTGTGCAATACAGTCATCCTCCAGTTCAAGGACTTTTATGAATGGACTCCCTTGTTAAGGCAAGTATTGAATGTTTCTTAATGTGTGCATCTACATGTGCACTTAGCATGGAGTATTAAATTTCAGTGCAGTCTGCACCAGAGTCAGCATCTCCCAGGCACAGCACATACACATACACCTGGAGCTGCAGCAGTTGGAACCGAGGCAGAGCAGCCCCAGGCTGGCAGCAGGCTCAGGGGGGTCAGCGCTGGGCTCCAGGTTATGGAGAAGGGCAGACTGGAGCACGAGACAGGAGGCAGCCCCCACACTGTATCATCCTCATGCACCAGCCAGCCCTGGTCACTGTCTACATGTGCATGGAGATGGCTTAAATTACCCCACCATAGGATAGCACTTGTCCCAGACTGTACTATCCCACAATGGAGTTAATTAATTTACTGCACCATAATATGGGTACACATGCAGATGGTGATGTTTTACTATGGAGCTAATTAGTTATATCTTCAGTAAAGCACATGTGTAGGTGCACCCAATGCATAAGTAAAGAAAAAAAAAAAGAAGTGCAAAGGATGGGCAGAAGCTTTATACACAGTAGGCTCCAAGTTGTGCTCAAGTCTCTCACAGAAGTTATCCCATGGATTTCAATGGGACTGCTTCTGAGTAAGGCCATTGGGATTTTCCCATTATTTTAAATGAAACTGCTCCTCTCTGAGTACTTTTCAAGTAAACCCTAGATTGTTTTTAAAACCATGATTCTACCCCCTTGTGTTATAATCTTCTGTGGGAAATTACCAATTACACGCACAGAATTCTTACTTTTGCTAGTATATTTTCAGTGACCATACCCCATTTTCTGATCTTGCACTTTATAAAAAAAATATAGTTTGCCTTCCATCACCAAAACAGCTAATTAAGTAATAGGGCATAAATACTCAAAGAAATTGTCAGTCTTCTGTAACATGAATTAATTCAGAAGTTCTACATTTGCATAAATCTCTTAAGTCTCATTTTCACAGCTGTTCATTCTGTCAACTAGATAATGTTAAAATGAATTTGAAATACAACTAACGGTGGGAAATGTACCTTTCAACTAAAAATATCTTGTTCTGAAAGAAAGATTGTCGGGTGTAGAACACAAAATCATTGTCCAGCACTGCCTTATTATTTTCTTAAAACTAATATTTTCCAGTATAAGTGTGGTGGGGCTGCCTGTGTCAGGGCAGTCTCCAGGCAATGCTACACATGTGCCACTCCAGTGGGGCATCGGAAAGTCTCAGCCCCCACTGCCTTGTGGGTACCCTGTGGAGGGGAAAGACTAGGGGGGCACACCCTGACAGAAAAGCACACGGCCCAGGTTCATGGAGGGGGGCCCAAGGCAGGGCCAAGGTCTACTGAAGGGGACCAGAGGCCCAAGATAAGAGTGGGCCCAGAGAGGGGCCAGGCCAAGGTTCTCAGTGTAGAGCTTGTGGCCAGATGTGAGTGGAGATGGTTTGAAGAGCTGTGTAGAGAAGGGCTTGAGAAAAGAATTAAAATATAGTTTTTCTTAAAGAGAGGAATTATAAGATTCTAAAATGATTAATATATCATTGAAAAGGGCTGAAATGTTCATCAATTATAAGAGATATAGTCACATACAGATGGATATTTAGGAAATTAAAGTAGTCTGAATAATTTTAATATAGTGTTTTCCACCTTTTGCTTCAGAAAGAGCAGCTTAGATAAAGCTACGGGGGAGGAGTGGCACTGGGCAAGGCCACCTTGCACCATTGGTTGTTTCATAGATACTGAATCGTTCATACACTATATTCATGTCAGTAACAGTTGCACTTGGGTTGAGGCTGCCATCTTGGGACTCCAATTGTTTCCTCATGATGAGTTTGGTGCATGTGCATATGCTTGTACATGTATTGGGAGTCCAAGTATTCTCTGGGCCAAGTTGTCTTTCAAAATCAGACAGTGCCTTTTACATTTTCTGCTTTTTCCATAGCACCTGAAGTCTGATTTTTCTTAGCAGTTTGTTTTGACCTTGGTCAGAATCTAGTGCAGAACATGAGAGATGGTGGGAACTACAAATATAGCCTTTTATATTAACTATTCTTCAGGGCTTTGAGCAGGGTGAAATAGAATCACATTTAGTTACTTGAGGCATTTTCATGCCTAATAGATAGAACAGATCTGGCACATAGTGGGTGCTTCTACACAAGACATTATACTGCACATTATACTAGTCTAATGCACAGGAAAGTATCACCTTCTACATGTGCTCAGCAATTACTGTGCTGTATATTAGTCTGATGAGCTATTTTCTAGTACCTGTAGAAACAGGTACTAGAAAATGGTGCATTAACATATGCACCATACCATACATGTAGATGCTGACCAGGAGCAAATTGTTCCTGGTCAACATAGGCAGCAGGGGGTCACAGGGGGCTAGAAGAGCTGTCCTGGCTTGGCGAGAGACTGCCTGCCAGCCACATGGAGATCGGGTCCCAATCTCCACAGGGCAGGAAGGCAGCTGCCCAGCAGCCAGGACATTTGTCCCAGCCACATGGAGCTCAGGACGGGTCCTGATCTCCGTGGGGCGGGGTGGCAGCTGCCCACCCAGCCAGGAGAGCTCCCCCATCTTCCCACTCATCCCAATCTCCCCCTGGATGGGATGGAGCTCTCCACCAAGCTGGGACAACTCCTCCCCACCCTCCAGAGTTCAGGACCAAGTCCCCTTGCCAACACAGGGTTAGCACATAAGAGAGCTTGGAGCTCCCCCTGGCTGCTACAGGAGGGCAGAGCAGGGCAGGACTGTGCTGCTCCTATTGGGCTCAATTTACTCCTGATGGGAACGCACATGTAGATAGATGTGCTCCAGGACGTGCTTTAAAGAGCCTGAATTTTCTGCACAGAATATTCAGGTGCCTTAATTGCATGTGTAGATGTGCCCAGTGTGTACCCTCATCCTCATGTAACTTTCCTAGTCTGTCTAACCTGATTTTGAAAATATCCAAGGTAGAGTTATAGGTGGAGATTCTATAATCTTTCAGTGTAGCCTAACCACTTCTGTAGTGAGAAAGTTCATTATAATATGCAACCTAAAATGTCCCTTGTTATTATCTAAGACCATTGCTCCTTATCTGTCACCTACAGCCATTGAGAACTTATCACTGTCCTCTTTATAACTGCCCTTTATATGTTTAAAGACTGTTTTCTCTTCTCCAAACCAAGTAATCCCAATTTTTCCAATGTTTTCTCACAAGTCTCTTTCCTAGACCTCTGATCTTTCTTTTTTTAGTTTTCTGTCTACTAAACTTCCAGTTTGTTTATGTCTTTCTTGAAATGCAGCACTGAAAACTGGACACATTACTCCAGGCCAGGCCTTAGAAATGCTGAATGGAGTGGAAGAACCACTTCCTTTGATTTGCAGAAGGGAGGGCAGTGTAGCACCTGAGAGACTGGTTCAGAGAGGCATGAGCTTTCCTAGATGATACCCTACTTTATCGTTAAATTGTATAGCTTTACTAAACGTGTTTAAATGAAAGGAAACAGCATTTAAAACAGTCAACCTAAGCATGAATTGACAGGATAATAAGACGCTGGTAATAATAACTTTCCATATCCTCAAAATCAGCATGTTCTTTATATTTCATTCACAAGAGAGGGCATCAAAGAGAGAGGACATGATAACTAACAAAGTTGAGACTATGTTTACAAGTTACAGGTGGTTACAGTCCCATTAAATATGAAGTTGTTTCTGTTTCAGCATGAGAAAGATATCTAATACTTATTCACAAACCTGAAATCCCTTCTTTTGCTTATCAAAATAAAAATAACTGGCTTTTCTGCTTTGCTAAACTTATTCCATACAATTTTAGGCTAATGGTCCTGTAGCAGGGGGCCTTCTCAGGGCCAATTTACCTTTGGCCTGCCCACCTGTTCTGGGCCAACTGCCCGCATTCTCTTCTGCCATGCCTTGATGTTAATTAATTAATTAATTAATGATCTTAATAAGCATCAGGCTGCCCATTTCTTGCCCCAATGCCAGGGGGCGCTATCTGCGGCTCCATACCTCCCCTATACTGCAGCCCATGCCTCGCAGATGGCATCCTTTGTTGTCAACATCACCGACCCCACTCTGGGCCCCAGAGTGTTTGAAGCCTACCTGGATCCCTCCATTTAGACACACTATTCCACATTCATTCTAGGCTGCATAGCTCCCTGAACTGTTCCCCCTTATGGGTGTGGTCTCCTGGGACCTTTGGCTACACTGGCCCTGCTCTCACCTCCAGGCCAGTCAGATCCCCAGGCCTTCAGCTCTGGCCATCCCTCGCAGTGAACCCCTGGCTCTTCGACCCTTCTGGTCCTGGCCCCAGCATTAACCAGTTGAGGTATTTCTAAACAGATTTATGAGTCTATGGCCCCACTCTCTCTCTGGGGTCCACCTTCCAGACCCTACAAAGGGGTAACCCACCCGGTTGTGGGAGCTGGGATTAAGGCACCCCGACCAACCTTTCACCAGAGTGGTAATTGGCCTGGCATTTCCTGGGGGCTCCTGCGCCACTGAGAGCCCCACCAGGCCACCCACTCCCAGCAGGGTGCAGTTTTAGGTCATGCCCAGGACCAGGAGCCTCCTGACCATCCCCTACAGTTCCTTCCTTACCTCCAGAGTGTTCCACAAAACCTCACAGCCAGGTGATGTTGCTACAGTTCCAGCCAGCAGCAAAATGCCCTGTTTTATGGGCGGCCAGGGCTCTAAAACGGCTGCTGCAATTAAGCACCTGCTGGCTGCTTGGCCCCAGGTCTTAAAGTGGCAGGCATAAACAGTGCCCTGCCACAGGTCCACAGAGTAATATAATGTAATATTTACAACTGTAATATATGTGCTATTTCTTTCTTCCAGGCTTTCATGTCAATGTTCCAGATCCTAACGCAGGAAGGATGGGTAGATGTCATGGATCAAACTCTGAATGCAGTAGGACATATGTGGGCACCAGTAGTTGCTATTTACTTTATACTTTATCATCTTTTTGCTACATTGGTAAGTTCTGACCTGCACATTTTCATTGCTTTGTTTTAAATTGCTGAAGTACTTCTTGTGATGTGTATTTTAATCAGCTCGCTAAATCTTATGTTCCTTCTCAACTTCTTATTGATGGCATCAGAATTAATTCTTTGTGTGATGAAATCTAGCCTTTGGCTTCATGACCTGTGGAGGCTAACCTTTGCTCTCTGGTGTGGAGTTTTCCATGCCAAAGACCCAATCCTAACAGAAGTACTGTAATTGTTAACTACCATGAGTCCTCAAAGTTCAGATGATCAGAGAGTGCAACAAGGGCTTGTACATATCATGTAGAGATGCTTTCTTCAGTGTCATTGAATTTTCTTTGTAGCTCTAATTAAACTGAACACAAATATAAAGCCTCAGGGTACAAACTGTTAATTAGAATTCAGTACAATGCTTTTCTGTTGTATGATGTGGAAACTAACATAAAGGAAATTTATGATGCAACATATCAGATAACAAAGCCACAAAAATTAATAAAGCAAGTCCTGTATCTGTATGGAAATATGGATTAGAGCTGAAAAAGATACCTTTCCTTGTATGTATTTTAAATGACCGAGGTTACATCTTTCTACATCAAAAGCAGAATGGAAAGGAGTTCTGCAGAAATAGTAAAACAGTTAGGGCCTTGGTAGTGGTTACAGAAAACACCCTAATTCCACTAGTTTCTGCTTCTGTTTATCACATATTTGCACTAACAGCATAGCACTTGGGTATATTTATTCATAATTCCCATTTCTTTATTCCCTTTGTGGCCCTTTCCCTTCCCCTTGTCTAATGTATAGACTGCATGATTTGACTTACTCTGTTTGCCTATATCCTAAAAATACATTTGATTCCCACAGCAGCTCTTATATATATACACACACATAGATAGATAGATAGATAGATAACACAGTTGTTAAGTTGACTAGAACAGTTTGATGCATCTCAGATTCCCCTTTCTCTGATAGCGCAATAGATATTCCTTTCCCTGTGTCAATCTTTCCTCATCTAATAGTACTTTTTCAAAAGAGTCAGCCAGGATTGTTTAGTTTTAGCCATTTTGCCCAGAGAAAAGATGTCTCCCAGGGTGTCTTTGCCTCATCTCCAGCCCTCTTTTGGGAAATCTGCTAGTCAAGAGCCAAGCCCTTGTTTTCTTCCATAGATTTGTTCATAGTCCTTTCTCCTCCCACTAGAGTTTCCTATAGTGCATCTATAGATATCATTATCACACAGGGCCCCAACAATTAATAAAGTACACAGAAGAAATGGCAGGCAGTGGTGCTTCACTTCTCAGGTTTTCCTCAGGCTATGGATGCAAAAATCATAAAAGACCAAAAGTATTTCAAAAGAAAATGACAAGGCAGAAAATATGATGAAAAATACTTGTGATCAGTGATGGAATGTGGAAAAAGTCAGGTTTATACTGAAAACAGCAAAGAGATCTAAGAATAAACAGCAATAAGCAAATAAAAGAAAGAAATCAAATGAAGAAATAAATGATAACTTTCAACAGCCAGAACAAGGGGGAGTGTTAGAACTAAGAGGTGATAATTGCATGCACTTGGCAAAGGAGACTGTATGAAGTTGGAAAGAAATTAATAGGTTTTGCATAAAAGCTGAAGAAAAGTTGAAGCTTGAAAAACAGAAACTGTGCTGGAAGTGAAGACTGTTATTAATCCAGATGGGAATGAAGGCAGTTAAACAATAAATTTGGGTTTAACTGTTCTTTTGTTATAAGGTCTTTAAGGTTCATGGTGAAGTGAAAAGAGAGTTAATGGAAATCTTGATTTTTTGACTTATTACATATAGAAATATGAAAGAATAAAGTTCTGAACTGTGATCTGTTTACCAGCTATGGCATTTCTCCTAGTGTAAATTGGTACTGTACTATTATGGTCAGGGCTGAAGAAGAAGAAAAATACCATATTGTAACATTCTGACAGGATGACAGAAAAAAATCTTACTCACAGTTGGTAATGATTAAAGTACTTCATGCCAGTGATGATGCATTGTATCCGATTTCTGTCTTTCCTTACCATTTTAAAAGGCCACTTTAACAGTTCACTGTGACCTCTGCACTACAATCTGTTATAAAGTACTGTTTAATTATTTGGCATATTTAACATGCTTTTCATAGCAGCTGCAGAAAAATCTGTTAAATACTGGTAGAGTAAATTTGTGTCCAGCCATTTCTCCTTCTAAACGTTTATATATTAAGAAATTGTTTAGACAACATGATATCAAATTTAAAGTTCATATCCCTGGGCATAGGCTTATTTATTTTATTTACTTATTTTTCAGAAGTGCCTTTGTGACATATATCTAAGTTCCATTTGGAAAAGTTGTGTCACTGAAAGTCAATGAAATTAAGGTTCCTGGATGCTTGTTACTTTTGAAAATGGGATATAGGTTGATAACAGAAAAGGCCAGATTTACAAAGATATTTAGGTGCATGGGGCGGCAAAAAGGCTTTTAAGTGCCTGAGTCACTTTTGCAAGATCTTTCATATTGTTCTCAAGGAAGAATAATAGAGTTTTCCACTGTCAGTTTCATGGCATATTCACTCTAGAGGAAAGAAGCTTCATGTTATAGTCTCACCCCTAATAATGCAAACGCTTATTGTGCAGTAGTGCAATTTGGGGCAGGGTGAACAGGACAGCTGCCATAGGTGCTGACTTGGAAGGGCAAAAAAAGCAGCTGCAACCAGAAGTTGCTATTGCCTCTGTGCCCTGGGTGCCTGGCTGGGCACATCTACAAGTGACACTACATTGCCATAGCAATGTGCTACAGTGACATAGCATCAGTGGTCACAAACCATGATGTCACAGCTATGTTGCTGTAGCAATGCACTCTCTCCTTATAGAGCACTGCTACAGCAATGTAGTAGCTAAAAATAACTGTGCGTGGCCAGCACGGTGCAGTATGGGCTGTTACTGTGCCGTCATTTAGTACTTCCTTTTGGATGCACCCACCATGTCCCTATGCTGTTGCTTATGGCTGTGCTTAACTCCTATGAGCAGTCCATTTAAAATCACTGTAGCTAACTGTAAAGTTAAGTACATACACATTTACAGGACTGGGGTTTTCCAGATGTAGGGAAATTTGTTGAATTGTCTATGTTTCCCTCCCCCATACACCGGTCATCCTGGACTTATCTCCTAACTCAGTTAGCATCAGTCATATTCTGGGCTCCAGTGGCCCATTGTAAACACATATGCCAGTCAACACTATGCAGTTTCAGTAGTTCACTATGTATTATATTTATGTTGTAGGTTCATGAGATTCTTTCTACTAAAGGTTTATGTACATGGGGAATTACTACATAGTAAGCTAAGGTGCAAATTCATTGTTCACTAACTACGGCACACTAACACTCATTATGGACACTTAGCACAGTAAGTTTTGTCACCATTATTCCAAAAGATATACATCTCATCTAAGGAGTGTGGTCCTTTTCTACCCAGTGAAATGCATCTCTCTCCTATTCACGCATACTCAGCCTTGGGTGGGTGCACATAGGACTCCAACTGTTTCAATGGGCAGCTTTATGCACATTTATCATGTTAGGATCCAGGTCACTGGTTTCCTAGGTGAGTGCCTATTTTGTTGCTGGTATGCATGTCCAGATACATGTGTCATCTACAGAGCAGGGTTCCAGGTCTAGGAAGAGAATGCCTACTGGCACATAAGTGCCAAAAATGCCATGTGGGTGACTGAGACAACTGAAAAGAAGTATAATATACCCACTGAGTAAAATCCTAGCTCTACTGATGTCAATGACAAAACTCTCATTTATTTCAGTAATCAAGATTTTACTCAGAGTACTTAATTGTGCTCTTTAAGAAAAGTAAGACGAATTAAAAAAAACCCTTTGAATTATTTTTTAGATTCTGCTCAGCTTGTTTGTTGCTGTTATTCTGGACAACCTGGAACTTGATGAAGATCTTAAAAAGCTTAAACAAGTAAGAATATGCTTTTATCTTGCTGGAAATATTTGCAATGAGACATAAAACACCAAGGAAATTGCGCATTATATGTTTAAAAACACTAGAATGTATGTTAGAACGTAGAAATGTGTTAAATAGTACATAGAAAACTATGAGGAGACTTCTGAAGTGACATGGACAGTAAAAGTCATTTTAAACTGTCTGGCCAAATATAGCTAACACCATTTAAAAAGTCTTGATGGATTACCAAGGATTTATTTATTGAGAACTAACAAGGTTCTTGGTCTGTTTTACAAAGTTTTCTAGTTACAGTAAAGCCTAAATAGTTCTAGCATTGTGTTTGCACAATTCTCTCTGCCACTTGGATCCACTTGGATATATAAATATATCATTGGTGAGATCCTGGCTTCTTGTGCCACAGAGCAGGACCTTATGGAGACCAGTAAACAGCCCAAGTAAAGTGCTGATTCTCAGAACTGTCTTTTCTAAGTGTGAACAGTTGAGGGGTGCCCAAGTTAATCACCAGGGATCTGGATTTTCCATTTCTCATGGAAAAAATGGGAAAAAAAATGTAGATTTTCCCCTTTACCTGAGAAAAACATGGATCTTTTTCATTTTAACAAAGAAACATGTGGATTTTGCTCTTTCGCAAAGAGCTCTCTACAGGCTGGCAGAGTTCCAGCCTGCAATGGGTTAGGGGGAACGTAAGGAAGACAGTCGGGCAGGGGGTGCCATGTGCATGTATATACACATGGCTGTCAGGCAGCCTGGAAAGCAGCTCCTGCAGGGGGGCTGGGGGAGCAAGCAGGGGATGGGTCCTGATGGGCTCCCCCCAACACCATGGTCCCCACCCTCCTTCTTCAGCCTCCCGTCCCCTGCCCACCTCCTACTTACCAGCATGAAGTCCAGGTCCAGCTCCCTGCAGCAGGAAGTGGGGTCTTCCCAAATCTCTGAAGCTCTCCAAATCTTTTCTGAATTGGTTTGGAGAGCTTCGAATCAGGGCACTGAACTCAAGACAGCTGTGTAAGTGGTGCCTGTGGCACAGCTGCAGGACCTAATGAAAAAACCCCGGGCTCAGTTAAAGGGTTACTGAGCAGGCAGCTAGAAGCGGGTGGAGTGCAGGGCTCCACAAGCCTGGGTCCTGAGCCTTAGTGAAGGAATCCCAGAATGTGAAGGGTGGCCTTGTAAGTGGACTCAGAGACAGCTAACACTGCTGGGCTGGTGTCAGCTAGTAGAGAAGAAACCCAAAAAGGAGGTAGTGGGCTAGGAGTTAGGGGGAGAGGCCTAAAGAAAAGCAGACTCTGGGTGGTAGATAGAAGTGTGAAACGACAACCCTAGGATATAGCTGAGGATAGGGAAGAGCTTGGGGAAGGGCAAATCCCAGGTTTCAATTGAAGAAATATTAGACCAGAGGCCTGAGGTAGTTAACTGGAAGGTTTGGAGGCTACAGAGAGATGCCTCAGGGGCACTTTGAGTCCTGCAAGGGTCAGGGACCTGAGGGGCTAAAGTTAGTGACGGAGCAGCCCTGCAAGGGTCAGGAGCCTAGTGGACTAGAGCCAGTATAGG